TCATTAAATGCAAAAAATATATATATAAATATGAAAAATAAAATTAATTAAAGAATACTATACTGAACAATATTGAATGTTGGTATATTATTATTATTTGCATTATTAACTATCCCGTTTGAAATTGAATTGCAGGCATTGTTTGTTGCATTGTTACCGTTTGCTTTTTTGCTGCACCGCTGACGTCGCTGGTGCATGTGATACGAGTGAAGAACTCGGAAAGTTTGCCCTTGCCTCTAATTGCCACCTCGTTCTTCGTCAGCCTGCAGTGGCTAATCTATGGCATTCTAATATCGGACTCATTTATACAGGTGCCACAACTCCCAGCCTAAATTGCAATTTTAATATCTACCTTTTGCTTCTATTTTTCTATTTTTCAGATCCCCAACTTTCTCGGCTGTCTGCTATCGTTGCTGCAATTGGGTCTGTTCGTATTATATCCGCCACGTAGCTATAGTTATACCGGTCAGGGCTATAAGCTGCTCGAGCAAGCAGTGCCCTTCTAAATTATAATTATTTTGATTTGTATTAAGTTGAGATTTGTATGTACTTATATATATTGCGCATTTTGCATATGAGATTTAAGCATGTTTCATACAGGTATATAGCTATATTTTGATATAACGTAATTGTCAAATATCAAAATATGTTGCTTGATTTAGTTTGCAAATATATATATAACAAATAAGTATATATATATATATACATATAGGCATAGCGCATATGTAATGTAAAATATATAATTATAAAACTAATATTTTGCGAAAACACGTTCATATTTTGTATGTACTTACAATTTCTTGATTATTTTCGCTGCCCATCTGTTTGTAATTAATGAAATACACTGAGGAATGTGAAACTAATTTATTCAAGCACGTATTTCTCGATTGATGGCTGAAAACGAACTAGAATTCATGTAAGAGATTTGTATAATGTACGACTGCACACTCTATCGACAAGAGCGGAGCTGATATGCTGATAATAAATAACGTGCATTGTTAATTCAAATAATTTCCCTGCTTAAGTTAATAATTGAACAACGGGCTTATCTGATTGTTTATCTTTACAACCAATTGAAATCATTTCACGGAAGAGAGCGGCTCCGATAAGAGTTCAATAGGTATTTGGCCAAAAATTGGCGTGTCAATAATCATATCAATATATATTATTTGCAGTGCTACTTCAATACACAAGTCATTTACAAGAATATTGATTTCTGCATAGACAGCTGCTAGATGTAAATTAGTTGGCATTTTAAACTTCTTTTACTTTGGCGCCTTCACTTGTTGCGATTATTGTAAATAAATCGATAGCACAGTTTCATCGCTGCTGGTAGCAAAAAACCTTGTTTTGCTTCGTTCGTTATCTGAGTATAGTCTGATATAGATAAAAAGTAAAAGTTATTGATTATGGCATAAACAAGTGAGTAATATAAAAAGGCGAAACACACTAGTTTGCAAAATGTAGTTTAAACTGCAGGTGGACGCAATAGAGCGTCAAATTGTACTTCCATTTCAAATAGCGATTAGTTTTAGCGCTGTCGATGTTCGTTTACTTTGCGATGAGTGATTGTAGATTACTCGATAGCACGCTACCATCACTGCTGGCAACAATAAAATTGCTATCGTTCTTCGTCATCTCCGTCTTATTTTTGCAATTAAATAAAGAAAACCAAAAAAAGAGTATATAAACAAATTAAATGCAGGAACAGAGTCCCGAGCTATACGAGGAGGTAAAACTCTTTCGGAATGCACGCGAACGTGAGAAGTACGACAATATGGCCGATTTGTACGCGATTATAAACACAATCCAACAGCTGGAAAAGGCGTACATTCGGGACTGCATTACTCCACAGGAATACACAGCCGCTTGCTCCAAGCACCTCGTACAGTACAAAATTGCGTTCAAGCAGGTGGAATGCGAAGAGTTCCCCACCGTGGACACGTTCGTGAAGAAGTTCCGCTTGGACTGTCCCGCTGCACTGGAGCGCATTCGCGAGGATCGACCCATTACGATACGCGACGATAAGGGCAACACCTCCAAGTGTATTGCGGAAATTGTTTCGCTTTTCATTACTATAATGGACAAGCTGCGATTGCAGATCAATACAATGGACGCACTGCAGCCGGATGTTAAGGATTTAGATGACAATATGAATCGCTTGTCGCTCATACCCGAGGATTTCGATGCCAAGCAAAAGGTGGACAAGTGGCTGGGCACCTTGAATGAGATGCAGGCATCCGACGAGCTGAGCGAGGCTCAGGTGCGACAATTCCTTTTTGACCTGGAATCGGCCTATGCGGATTTCAATAAGCTGCTCCACAGCCAGTAGTTGTTAATAATTGCTTATATATCATTTGTATTTATCCCTATAATCTATCCACATTCAATTAGTCTGTACGAAACTCTTGCAATAAAGAACAAAAATTTATGAAATGTGCAAAAATCTACGACTACGAGTTTCGTATATGGCGGATATAATAAAATTGTATCCCAATGATAACTTGTCATATAAAGAGCTGCGTCATATCTAATTCATCTGATTAATATAACTATAATGTATTGATATCATATACTATAACTAAAAACAATAAACAAATCCTTTGAAGTAAAAGTTATATATAAAATTATAATCCACTGATTAAAAATCATAACTAAAAGTATAGAGCAAAGAATTTAACCAACACTTTAATTGAATCTCTCATAGAATCCTATTAGAGTTTTAAATATTCTTAAGTTTATGTTTGCAAAGCAATCGAATTTTGTATACCTTAGAATTATAGATTAGCTCCCCTGATTGACACATAAATCCTTGTCTCATAATATTTCTCTAAGAGCACGTATTCTATTAGTAATCTGCGCTGACCATAGACTCTTTTTACTATCAGTAAATCGAATGACCTCTGACTCCATATAACTGTTTTCGTTGATTCAGCTTCAGCTTCTACACTCGCCAGACATCTTTAACATTTCATATATAAAAAATGTTGCAATAGAAATTTAATAGATATAAAACAAATCATAGTTAGTTTTGTTTCGTTTTGTTTTTTTTTTTTTTGCATTTGTTTGGATTTAATCGTATTTTTATCTTCTTTTCTTGTATTTAATTTAAATATTAAGGTTATAATTATACAATACACATAAGTTTAAACCGATTACAATAATTAATTTTTGTTTGTTTGTTGTGTGTGTGTGTTTTTTGTTTACTTTCATTCACTTTACGTTTTGACGTTTGTTTGTTGGTTTGCTTTTGTATTTCTTTCATCTTACGCTTATAAATCTGTTAAATCGTTTTACGCCTTTAATATTTAATAATTGTTATCTTTTATCTTTGTAAATTATTTTTGTATGCAATGTGAAAAATGGTACTTGGTATAGTTTTTTGTTTTCGTTTTTATTAAATGTAAATGTTGTGGGCGGGGGCTGTATGTATGTATGTATTTTGTATTTGGTTGTTGTGTATGCGCGTATGTGAATGTGTGTTTGTGTGTGTATGTGTGTGTGGCGTGGCGTATGTGTATTTATATGGTATGTGCGGCTTTGTATACTTTATAAAGTTGCATAAGTCTTTGCACTGTTCGTTACGTTCTATTGGAGCAGGAGAATTGGAGAGGGGGCACGGGGCACGGGGCACAAGGCGCGGGGCGTGGGCGAGCAGTAAAAACATTTCTTATTAAGTAAAATATGATTTCTCATTTGCATATACTAGATAATCCTTAACATCATTATCTGACGAATGTTGTTCCTCGCTCAACGTTGCATTTTGATGCTGYTGTTGTTGTTGTTTCTCCTTGACAAGCATTAGTAACTGATTTGTTGCCGTTGTTGTAGGCAACGCTCTTTGACTGATATTATTATTATTATTATAAATGTGAATGGGTGTTGTTGTTGTCGCTGTTGCTGCTGTTGTTGTTGCTGTTGTTGTGTTGGTTGCTGCTACGGTTGTTGTTGTTGTGTTTGTTGTTGTTGTTATAATATTAGTGCGCAGGCCGCAAGCATTTGTTGATTGCAGCGTCGTCAGCTGCAATGGCCGCCAAATCGTCTTCTCCGTAAGCTAGTTCTGCCCGGTCCAATATGAATTGGGGTAGCTCGGTTTGCCGGTCGACTTGGACTGGCTGCTCGACTGTTGACGCTGGCCAGCGCTGTTCGAGTCCTGCAAAAGGCATAAACAGTATATATATATATTAATGAAATGTGAATATATACAGAGAGAGATAAATAGGGTTAGCAGCATAATATATATATATATATATATATTATATAGAGAGAGCGCGTACATATATAGTTATTCATATAAATATATATATGTGTGTGTATGGTTGTGTTTGTTTGTTTGTTTGTATACATTTTTATGAGACTCGGCTGTGTGTTTGATATGCATGAATAATTAATACGTTTAGCCCTTGTTTTCCTTTTTCTCTTATCAGCAACAAATTGGTCATAAAATCAATTCGCAAGCCAAACTAATTAATATTTTTGTATGTTGTTTAGCTACAGTTGTTAGTTTTAGATAAACAAATGGTTAATACTACAGTTATTATGTGCGTGTGTGTGTGCGTGCATGAATGTTAGTTGTGGTTTTTATATTTATTTCATATATATTTACATACATTGTGTTTAGCAACAAATCGAATATTTACCAAAAGAACAGAGAGTAACGAAATTTTAGATTTGTGTTTTAGTTCACATGATACAACAACAAAGGAAAACTTACCCGGCGGGATGAGCTATGAATCCTGCCGTCCATCTAATGTTGTCCCATAAAAAAATCAAAAGAAATTATAAAGAAAAACAAAGTCAAACAATCGAACAGTTTCCATGCATTTCACAAATTTTTCATTTTATTTCTATTTTTTATTTTTTTTCGAATTGAAATTAAATTGAAGTTGAAATTCTTTTATCCCAGTTATAAAAAGTTCAGAAAACTCAGGTAGTGTGTGGCATAAGTGTGATACTCCCCAAAAGCAAGAAATGTGAGAATGTGAGCTCGATATGATCGAAACAAAATATGCATGAAATGTGTATGTTTTGTTAGCTACGTTTTCAATTAGGGTTACGAGATTTTTAGACATTTACGGGATTAGGGGCTATGAAACACTAGCTCATTAATTTTCATTGGTATAACCGTATAACAATTAAAAAAAAAAAAAGATTTGCTAAAGCAGCAGAATAAGTTTGTTTCAAGTTTTCTAGTAGGAACTAGTTCAAGCACTAGTAACAAAACTTGAACAAAAAAATGAACTAGTTCTTTAACTGAGCGAGTACGTTAAATTTATTACCTTAATAGAAATTGACACTGATTTAGATTATTTTTTAAAAATCTGCTTACTAAATTGTAAAATTTGATATAATTTAAAATTCTGCTACATGGTTTCCAAATCATCTCATTTATACTTTCTATATATATAATACAGTATAGCAATTAAATTACGGTAAACTTCTTCGCAGAACTGATAAGTAACTCATGTCAGTCTTCTATAAACTGTTGTGTAAAATTCGAAAAATGAGTCACACCTTAGCTCTCCAGAAAGCATAGCAATTGACACCATAACCATTAGATATACAAATGATTTATATATACATAATATAGAATTGAAACATTATTGAAACATTATTTATAGGGTTAAGTAACTGAATCAAATTCAAGTTCCATAATATTCGCAGATCGAATCATGTGAAGCCCTAACCATTAGCTCTATCTACATTAAAAGGTTTTCCGTTTTTTTCCACTAGTTCGCTTTATGTATTTCGAATCATTTCACCTACTGGATTCCATAAAGTTAGTTAAATGATTCTGCAGCCTTTTCTTTAGAGCTTAAATAAATAAAAATGAAACTGAAACCAAATGGAATTAACGCTATAATAAATTAGAATTAGTGCACAATGTGAAAAGTGAAACAATTAATAAATATATTTTTGTTAGTTTTGTTAATATAAGATGTTTTTTTTTTTTTTAACGACAACAGCAACAGCAATACAAAAAATGAAACAATTTCTACGCATATTAAATATATATGTATGTGTGATTAAAAACTTAAAACGAAACATTGAATGATGTAAAAGTTATTGCAAATTTTGATTAGTTGTGTTAGGAAGTGTTAGGTGTGAATGGACATGCATGATATGATTTCCTTTTTTTAATGTATGCGGTAGTTGTTTAACAAGAAATATATATATAACACATATATAGATATTTATGAAACAATATCAATCTGTGTCTCTGTGTGTCTGATTTTTTATTTTGATAAAATGTTGCTATTTCTTTTTGTTTCTTGTATTTTCATTCGGCAAAGAACGTTATGCCACTGATATCATCTTGTATATAGTTGTTATTATCTTGCTGACCGTGTCCCGATATAATGTATTCATGATCATTATGTTGATTATGTTCACCACCACCATCATCATCATCATCATCATTATTGTTATTATTATGATTATGCTCATTATTCTGATGCCACATTTGCTCATTCTCGTACGCGACATGTTGTATATTATTTGGATTGTCTTGATTGATAAGAAACTGCTGTTCAGCACTGTACTCTACCTGATGGATTGGCGGATGGATCATGTTGTGATGTCCAGCCGCTGGCATCGGCAGATACATGCCATAAGGCTGAGCTGAAGTGCCGCCCGCTGTCTGTGTGTTGGCCATGTTGAATGGAGGCGGTGTGCCCGAGTGGAAACTCTGCTTCTCATACGACTGCAATGAAATTAAAGTATATTAATATATATATAAGGATATATCTTGTTTCGTATTGATTGATACGCACATTGACCTTGTTTAGCGCCACATGACCCTTGCCATACATGGACGAGGTCAGATCGGAGCCTGTGCCAGCCTGCGGTTGATTGGAAACCGTTTGTGTTTTGCTCTGCTGATTCACACTGGACGAATAGCCGCCCTTGCTATAATCCTGAGTTGTCTGCGACAGGGCATCATAACTGGTCGAGCCGTAGCCAGCGCTATACGAAGGCTTTGGGAACTGGCCACCGGATGCTGTATTGGCAGCCGGTATTTGTTGCTATAAATATAAATATTAAATAGTATATATTTTAGTTTATACATATATAGATATTTGATTTGATGAAAAGCCTTACTGGATAGATGGCTGGTGTGCCGTATTGGAAACCGCCGGGCATTACATTGCCACCGTAGAAATAAGCATAAGGAACATTCAGCATTGGCGCACTGGAGCCAGCTTGTTGCGACATTGTGCTAGACACCTGCAAGGCCAATGGGGGAAATACATAAATTATAGGAATTATATAAATATTATAAATATGGAAATATTATTTACACTGCTTCACTTGCCTCTTTCATACTCACATTA